CTAGTAATGAACTAATGGACACAGACAGACCAGACGGCCCCGGCCCTCTGCGTTCCGGTCCGGGCCGCGGCGGCGCCAGTGAGGCCGCGCAGGTGCCGTCTGGCCTGGTGGCGGCCGCTTCCCGGCCCGACCGGTCGGCGGGCGGCTCGGCGCGACCGGCGGGGCGCCACCAGCCGGCGCCGGGCGGCACATGCCGGCCGCCGGGCCGGCGCCCTTCCGGGGCAAGCTGCCGGCGGCTGTCACTTCGGCGCCCATCACACCACGCGCCGGCCGCTTTTTGCACGGCTGGCAGGCCGCTAATGCGGAGCACACAGTGCGTCGATCAGGGGTCGGGGACGCGCAGAAGTCGCCTGCCAACGCACAGGCCGCCGGCCGGCGATCGCCCCGTACTCGCCGATGAATAATGCATCGTCGGTATAACTGGACCGATCCACGCCGGCCGATTGGCCGATCCGGCACCGCCATTGTCCGCGGCGAGGTGACCGTCCCCGACCAGGGAAGCGGTACCGTCGTAACACTAAAATTTGCATCTCGGCGCAAAGGGCTGGCAACTGCCAGACAGGAGCGCACCGCACGCGCGGTGCCGATGAGTTCCGTGCCGGGCCGCCGACCTGACGCTGTGGCTCGCCTAGGCTCGCCGCCGTGATGGCGACACCAGCCGGCGACCGGCGCCCTTTGGGCGCCGCCACCGACCGCCCCGCTAGCGGACGCAGCCACAGGTCGGTGCCCACAACGGACACACGACCGATATCATCGTGGCCGGCAGGCCCGGTCGTTCGCACGGGGCGGCCGGCGCGGTCCAGCGCGCGCCACCCGGCCGGCCGCCAGCCCCGCGTTCCGATCGGCGCTCGCAGCGGCCCTGAAGCCCACCAGAGCCAGCGGCCGGGCCGCGTCGACGCAGAGGGCGCCCCGAGCGCGCCAGAGACGGGCGACAGGCCAGTGTTCGGAGGGCCGCCGGGGGTGAAGCGCCGCACCGTGGCTCAGCGGGAGCAGCCGAACCGGACGGCTGGATGACTCCACCACTCACGCCGCGCGCCGTTTTCTGCGCGTGTTCGCGACACACGCTCAGAGTGCCGAACGGCAGGCTTGACGGGACGACACCGCTGGTCCCGGGCTGGTCGCGGAAATAAATGCCTTCCAACGACTCCCATCGATCCCGCCATTCAGCCTACAATGGCTCTAACGAAGTGAGACCAAAACGGGCATCTGGCCGCTTTGGTCTCACTTC